TTGGTTTGGTTTGATTTGTTTCTCTTGTTTAGTTTAATCTTGATATATTTGTTTAATATTATGTATGTTAGTTAAGTATATATATTTTTAAATAAATCTTATAATTAATTAATTGCTCCCTTGATCTTTAAAATAAACAATGTTAGTTTAGTTTAGTTTAGTTTAACATAATGTAGTTTAGTTAATATTATGTTAATACAATGTGTTGTAGTTTCATTTATTTTAATATAAAGTATCTTAATTTAGTTTAGTTTTTTTAGAAATATGTTAGTTTAATTTAATATATAAAACGGTAGTTTGGTTTGGTGTATTTAATATGATATATTAGTTTACTTTGGTTTGGTTTGATTTGTTTCTCTTGTTTAGTTTAATCTTGATATATTTGTTTAATATTATGTATGTTAGTTAAGTATATATATTTTTTAAAAAATCATTTGCATAATCATATGCCTAGATACCCGTTCAAGGCATACACATTAGGAGTATGTCTTGAATAGTCCCCGGTTAGGACTGTCCTTGTACGTTTATTCTCACTTAGGTGGTGAATGTATTCCTTTGTTTTAATTCTAAGGAAGATACTTGCTTGTCATTTCTCTACAATGTTCTCTAGGTACATATATAGGTGTTTCTAATCGCCTATATTGTGTACTCGGGGAACTATAGGGAGATGCTGCCGGATTTTCCATAGAATTGAAATTCTGGCATACATTCACTAGTGAGATTGAACGTACAAGGATGAGTTAGGTTGGAGTGATAAGGACCCTTGGAAATCATTTCTCTTCTCATTTGCATTTCCATAACAGTTTGATCTATAATGAATATATATTGTGCTTTATGACTAATGTGATTAATGGCATATGTGTTAGTTGTGTAGAACTTGTAATCATGAAACGAAGAGAACGTAGATGGATGTACGAAAGGAAGGTTGGGAATTCTATTAATCCTGAGTTCTTGAAGGGGGTAGATGAATTCCTTAAATATGTGGAAGATCATCCCGAGAGTAGCAACCCGAATGAAGTTAGGTGTCCATGTTTTAAATGCAAAAACAAACGTCTCTGGGATCCAGATACGGTTAAACTTCATTGGTATCGCAGCGGTTTTTTACCTAATTACTACGAGTGGATGTGTCATGGGGAAGGGTTTCCAGGAACTCGTAGAAGGGAGTCAAATGAACATCATGAAATGGTTTTGGATGCCTTTGGTCAGTCTCAAGATCAAGGCCATTCCGAAGAGCCACATGTTTCATTAGAGGAGGAGCCTAATGCACAAGTCAAGCCATTTTTTGATTTGTTAAAGGCTTCTGAACAACCATTATACGAAGGGAGTTCATTGTCTGTGTTAGAGATGGCTTCTAGAATCACTAGCCTAAAGTGTGAGTATAATTTGCCGCACAGATGTGTTGATGGATTTGCTTCTTTGGTTAATGAAGCGATTCCTAACAACAACCACATGGCCGAGACATTCTATGAGGTCAAGAAAATTGTTAAGGGGTTAGAGATGCCCCATGAAAAGATTCATGCATGCCCGAAAGGATGTATGTTGTTTTTGAAAGATGATGATCAATTATCTACATGTAGGGTGTGTGGCAGCGATCGATACAAGAAGACTTCTAAAGGTAGCTTAGTACCTTTGAATGTTCTATTTTATTTCCCTATCACACCTAGGTTGCAAAGGCTTTTTGCAACTAAAAACATTTCTGAGGAAATGACATGGCATGCTAAAAATCCTCGAGTTCAAGGCACAATGGCACACCCTAGCGATAGTGAAGCGTGGAAACACCTAGATAGTTGCTTTCCTGAGTTTGCCTCTGAACCTCGTAATATTCGACTTGGCCTATGTACGGATGGATTTGCTCCACATGGTCAGTTTGGGGGACAGTATTCATGTTGGCCTATCATTTTGACCCCTTATAACTTGCCTCCGTCAATGTGTATGAAAAGACAGTTCATGTTTCTTTCGTTACTCGTTCCTGGTCCTAAAAACCCTAAGGGCAACTTGGATGTTTACATGCAGCCGCTCATACACGAGTTGAAAAAATTGTGGGAAGTTGGGGCAAATACTTACGATATTTCGAGAAAACAAAATTTCAATCTTCAAGTAGCCATCCTATGGACCGTTAGTGACTTCCCGGCTTATAGTATGTTATCTGGTTGGACCACAGCCGGTAAGAAGGCTTGTCCATATTGCATGGAGAAAAGCAAAGCATTTTGGCTTGAAAATGGTGGTAAGGTTTCTTGGTTTGACTGCCATCGTCAATTCCTTCCGACAAATCATCCTTTTCGAAATAGTATAAATGCATTTTGTAAAAACAAAGTCGAAAAAGGTTCACCACCTCACATCATGTCAGGAGAGGAACTTTGGGAATGTGTGAAAAACCTCCAGAAAGCAACAGATGGCCCCGAGGCACTGAAACGTCTCAAGAATGCAAAAAAAGGGTGGTTCAAGCAAAGCACTCTATGGGACCTTCCATATTGGAAACATCTGCTTGTTTGTCACAACTTAGATGTCATGCACGTTGAAAAAAACTTTTTTGATCAGTTGATTCACACTATAATGGACGTGAAAAAGCTATCTTGTGACACGCCATCAGCTCGGAATGACATTGCTAAATACTGTAAACGGCCCCAGCTACATCTTCAAGAGGATGATAGAGGAAAAGAATTCATGCCAAAGGCTCCATTTGCTCTTGACAAGGCTCAGAGAAAGGTTTTGTGTGAGTGGGTCAAACAACTGCGGTTTCCTGATGGTTACGCTTCCAATTTGAGCCGATGCGTTGATTTGCAATCAGGTAAGTTACATGGAATGAAAAGTCATGATTGTCACGTGTTCATGGAGACGTTGTTGCCCACTGCTTTGAGAGAATTTCTCCCTACCCATATATGGAATGCAATTACAGAGATAAGCCAATTCTTTCGCGATTTATGTTGCTACACAATTACAGTTAGCGACATGCAGCGATTGGAAAAAAACATAACTGAGATCCTGTGCAAGCTTGAGAAGGTTTTCCCCCCATCTTTCTTCAACTCCATGGAGCATTTACTAATTCATTTGCCATATGAGGGCAAGTTATGTGGACCTGTTCAATATCGGTGGATGTATCCTTTTGAAAGGTAAATCAAAGGTCCTTTCTCAACTCTTACTTTCATCTCTTTCATTGATTTCCGTTACTTATACTTCTACGGCTACATAAACATAATTACAGGTTCCTCAATCACCTGAAACGAAAAATTGGTAATAAGGCTCGTGTTGAAGGTTCCATATGCAACGCTTATCTCACTGAAGAGATATCAAACTTCTGCTCCAATTACTTTCAGCCCTCAGTTGACACAAAAACACGAGATCTAGGTCGAAATGTGAATGCTGATGTGGAATCCCCGGCTGACAACGATGAAATCCCAAAGCTGTTCACGGTGGATAAGGGTCGTGTGTCAAATTTCGGTAAAACTCGGTATTTAGATGACAAGGAACTCGAATGTGCTCATTTGTTCGTTTTAAGAAATACTGGCATTCTTGGTGAATACGAAAGGTATATATGTTTACGATAAACTTTTGAAAATCCCTTAAATTTAATATAATTGCTGCAATGATTAACCATGTGTCATTAATCTATTAGGCAGTTTGAGGACTACATTCTTAGTACTCGAACTTATTTGCGTCGAGAAGATGTCATGGAGAAATGCGAAAGTGAATTCCCTGATTGGTTTCATCACAAGGTGATAATACTTTTCGAACATTGCGTATCGATTAATTTGTGATAATATAATATAATATATTTCATTTCAATTAGTGTGCGCTTGTATTCGTAACGGTTATAGGTGAGAGAACAAAAACCAAGTTTTGATGTGTTGCGAGCATTGTCTATGAGGCCTTTCAAGCGTGTTCGAACTTGGAACCAGATATTTGTCGGTGGCTTTAATTTCCACACACAGTCCTATGGCAAACACAAATCTACGATGAATTATGGGTTGTGTGTCTCAAGTGAGGACGGTGGAGAGTACTTTGTCATTTTAAACGACATAATTGAACTTGTCTACACCGGTCCCGAAAAAGAGTACAAGACTATTTTGTTTAGTTGTAGTTGGATGGATTGTGGTAAAGGAATGAACATTCATGAACAATACAAGCTTGTCGAAGTAAATCATACTAAGAAGTATCCCAAGTATGATCCATTTGTCTTATCTTACCAAGTGTCTCAAGGGATTTCACTCAATATTCACATTCAAAAGAGCATCCTCCTTGCTTCTTGTCACTGTTCCATTGAGAAATCCCAGTTTTCTCTTGGATGAGATCTTTATTTCAAGGCCTTAAACGTGATCGGGTTCAATGGTGGGCTGTATTTAGAACTCAAGCAAGGTCGGTGATTGATGCTCCGGTGGATTTAGAGTTTTTGCAGGGTCCTTCACCACAAGTACACGCAACGCTTTGTCCACCAAATGACATTCCAGACTATGAACTTGATAGTGATGATGATGATGACGATGGCTTTATTATCTCAAGCGATGAAGAAGAAGAAGAAAGCATTGGCTCCAGTGACAGTGACGAAGAAGAGGACATCAATGTATTTTTAGATGACACTAGTGATAGTAATAACGATAGTGATAATGATAGTGGTAGTAGTGATAAGACTAATGAAGAGGAGAATATGTAGTTACTCCTTTAACTATTGTCTTCGAATGTTTAGTTTTTAATGACTACTCGGACTTGTAATATTGCATTACATTTTTGGTCTCATTTTATTATTTTAATGTCTTATGGATCTAATTTATGAATTTAAAATGTGCGATTATGGTACTAACAACTTTTTCAGGTGGTCATCATGGGAGGAGAAAATAAAGGAGAAACATCCAAGAGGAGAAAGTCTAAGGGGAAATCTCAGGTTGTACGTGTTGACGAGGATGAGTCAATGGAGGAAGAGGAGGCACATGATTTGGGGGCCTCTCAAGAAATCGTCAGGAATGTACAAGGGCAATAGGAGCAACAGCAGCATCAGGAACAGGAGCTACAGGACCTGCATCCTAATGACTTGCTAGAGTTGGACCCTTCCACACTTTGGTGCGTATGTATTTGTATAATGAAATATCCTTAAATTCGTATTTACTTTGATAAAGTGAATTTGTATTACTTTAACCATGTTTTGTTCACTTTTTGTTGATTATCTACTTACATGAATGTCTATCCTTTATTATAGGTTTGATGATATCCCGGTGAAGAATGTGCTCTCCGACTCGCTAACCGGCTACTATGTTGAGCCTTGGAGGAATTATGGAGAGGTTGATGAAGATTCGAGAGAGCACTTTTGGAACTTGTTCAATGTATGATAACTTTAACCTAACATAATACATGTTTTATAAATTATATTGATGGAGTTGAATTTTGTAATAAAGACATTTTATTGATTTGCAGAAAAAATTCAAGTGGGCACCTGAGTTAAACAACCAAGTGAAGGACACTTTCGAAGAAAAGTTTGCAAATCGCCTACGTGACACGTTCTACAACATCACACACAGGCTGAATGGTCGCAAACCAAGATGGCTTAATAAGGATGTCCACGAAGGCATGATGCGAATTGTTTCCACCGATCCAAAATATAAGAAGCGGTCGGAACAAAACAAGAAGAACCGAAGAGGCGGATCCATGGAAAATGTCGTTGAACCGACCCACTTTCAAGGTTCAATGTCATCTGCACAACATGCTAAAAGGATGGTAAGGTTCCTACAATATGTCCAGTAACAATTATGTCATTCGTCTATTAATGAATTTTGGTGGGCTAACATGTTTTCATTGATTTTCTGCATGTACATATAAAGGCTGCAAAAAACCAAGGCCAATTACCAAATGCCCATGATCTTTTCTTGAAGACACACTTCAAGGAAGTGCCTGGAAAAGGCCAATTGGCTTCCAACAACAAAGCAAAAAGGATTGCGGTAAACACTTATTATATGAGTTGATATATGGCAAATTAGCAAAGTGGAACACATTATATGCTTATTTTGGATGAATTTGGATGAGTTAGGGTCGAACATTGACATATGTGCTTGTTTCTCTTAATTTCTATCCTTAGGCACTTAAAAGTATGTGATATTGGAATGTTATAAGAAAGAACGAGTCCATTTACTTGAAAACATAGAAAATAGGCATGTTTTTAGCCATATAGGCCAAATTTGGATGATTTTGGATGAGTTAGGGTCGAACATTGACATATGTGCTTAATTATCTTAATTTCTATCCTTAGGAACTTAAAAGCAATTGATATTGGAATGTTAGAAGAAAGAACGAGTCCATTTGCTTGAAAACATAGAAAATAGGCATGGTTTTAGCCATATAGGCCAAATTTGGATGATTTTGGATGAGTTAGGGTCGATATTTGACATATGTGCTTATTTCTCTTAATTTCTATCCTTAGGCACATAAAAGAAATTAATATTGGAATGTTAGAATAAAGAAACCTTACATTTGCTTGAAAACATAGAAAATAGGCATGGTTTTAGCTTTATAGCCAAAATTTGGATGATTTTTGATGAGTGAGGGATGAAAATTGATATATGTGCTTATTTCTCTTAATTTCTATCCTTAAGCACTTAAAAGAAATTGATATTGGAATGTTAGAAGAAAGAAACCTTACATTTGCTTGAAAACATAGAAAATAGGCATGGTTTTAGCGATATAGCCAAAATTTGGATGATTTTGGATGAGTGAGGGTTGAAAATTGACATATGTGCTTATTTCTCTTAATTTCTATCCTTAGGCACTTAAAAGAAATTGATATTGGAATGTTAGAAGAAAGAAACCTTACATTTGCTTGAAAACTTGGAAAATAGGCATGGTTTTAGCCATATAGGCCAAATTTGGATGAGTTAGGGTCGATATTTGACATATGTGCTTATTTCTCTTAATTTCTATCCTTAGGCACTTAAAAGAAATTGATATTGGAATGTTAGAAGAAATAAACCTTACATTTGCTTGAAAACTTGGAAAATAGGCATGGTTTTAGCCATATAGGCCAAATTTGGATGAGTTAGGGTCGATATTTGACATATGTGCTTATTTCTCTTAATTTCTATCCTTAGGCTCTTAAAAGCAATTGATATTGGAATTTTAGAAGAAAGAAACCCTACATTTCATTGAAAACATAGAAAATAGGCATGGTTTTAGCGATATAGCCCAAATTTGGATGATTTTGGATGAGTGAGGGTTGAAAATTGACTTATGTGCTTAATTTTCTTAATTTATATCCTTAGGCACCTAAAAGTATGTGATATTGGAATGTTAGAAGAAAGAAACCTTACATTTCATTGAAAACATAGAAAATAGGCATGGTTTTAGCGATATAGCCCAAATTTGGATGATTTTGGATGAGTGAGGGTTGAAAATTGACTTATGTGCTTAATTTTCTTAATTTCTATCCTTAGGCACCTAAAAGTATGTGATATTGGAATGTTAGAAGAAAGAAACCTTACCTTATACTGTTGGTTGTTTTTTTAACAATATTTTTTTTATCTTCAATATTTTGTAGGAGACCTACTAGAAGAAGCTCGAAGAAACAAGGAGTCAGGGGATTCAGAAGAGTCCCAATGAGTTGTACTGGGAGTCGGTGGGTGGGCGCAATAAGAAGGGGCGTGTGAAGGGACTTGGCCAAAGTGCAGAGCTCTAATATGGCAAACAGATGGGTCGAGGTTCCCGTTCTTCACAGCAATACACGTCGTCTGTCATTTCTCAAATGCAAGACCAGATGGAACACAGGGTGCAAGCTCTCCAAACTCAAATGGAAGCCCGAATGGCTGAAATGGAGAGGAGATACAAGGAGAGTTTCGATGAGATGATGAGTCGTCTCACCAACAACGACTCATGTTCCACCATTCATCCTCAGCATCGAGACCCTAGGAACGACCCGGGTGGTGGTGGACAGGCCAGGGTTTCTAGGCGATTGCGTAGCTTAGCTTTAGTCTAGCATATAATCACTCTAACCTAGCTTTTGTTTGGTATAGATACCAAAATGTGGACTATCTTTTGTACTAGGACATAATTATTATATATATATGTACATAAATATAATTTCGTAGGTCGGTAATTAATTTTTTTAAAACAACAATTTTAGGACTCAATATTTGTTTTTTTTTTGTCGATTTATCATTTAAAAAATTCAGGTTTGGAAATGCAGAAAATTACAAAAATTTGTTTTGGGCTGGAAATACAATTTGCGACGGACAATTTCGTCGTAATGTACATATTTACGACGGGAAAAATCCTCGCAAAATATTATTTGCGACGGAATTTTCTGTCGCAAAATATTATTTACAACGGAAAATTCCGTCGCAAATTATATATAGCGACGAAATTTTCCGTCGCAAATTATATTTTACGACGGAAAATTCTGTCGTAACCTAAGGTTTGCGACGGAACTCTTTCCGTCGGAAGTTTGCGACGGATCTTCAGCAAAGGCCAATTCCAAGTCCGACGATATTATTTCCGTCGTAAATTCCGTCGTAAAATGGCCATTTTCCTACAAAGGGTTTTCCGACAACCATTTACGACGGAATTCCGTCGTAAACCATCTTTACGACGGAATTTACATAGTTTACGACGAACTTTTTCCGTCGCAATTTTGCTGTTTTCTTGTAGTGCGTGCCGCCACCATCCTTTTCAAGAATTTCGGTTTTCATAGTCAAATTCGACCATGGAGTTTTCATGGTCGAATTTGACCATATAAACCCCATGAGGAAGAAATATTAGGAAAGGTATGTTGATTTTCTGATTTTTTTTATAAAAATTTTGTTTTATTTTCGATTTTTGTTGTTTTATTTCAGTTTTTGTTCGAATTTCTGTTTGAATTTTGTTTTGAAGTTTTATTTTAAATTTTGTTCGAAATTTTTTGTGATTTTTGTTCGTTGTGGGTTTCAATTTTGCTGGGTTTAATTTGTTTTGTTAATTTTTGTGGGTTTGATTTTGTTCGATTTTTGTTAGTTTTTGTGGGTTTGATTTTCTTTGATTTTTGTTCAAATTTTAATTAGTTTTTGTGGGTTATATTTTGTTCGAATTTTGATTTAATTTTTGTTCAATTTTCGGTTTAATTTTGTGGGTTTAATTTTTTTTTTTGGGTTTAATTTTGTGGGTTTATTTTTTTTTGATAAATTTATACAATTTTTGGGTTGAATATGGGTGGTGGTGGTGGTGGGTAAAGGTTATTAGGGTTGGGCAGTGGCTGTTGGTGTTTTAGGGTTGATAGTGGTGGTGGGTAAAGAGGGTTTGGGTGGGAAGTGGTGGTGGGGTAGGCTGCGAAAATCAGGAAATGGCTGCGTTTTTTTTTTTTTTTTTGTTTTTTAAAATTTTTTTAGCGACTGCCTAAGACCGTCGCTAGGGGTGAAAGTTCGGTGTTCGGTTTGGTTTTTGGCCCAAACCGAAACCGAACAACCTTAATTCAGTTTCTTGATTTTAGAAACCACACCGCACCACTTTACTTTAGAAACCGAACCATATTTATTTCGGTTTCAGAATAAAAAACCGAACCAAACCGATTTTTAAGCAAACTAAAATTCCCACAAATTGAACATGCAGTAGCAGAGAAATTAAGCAAACTAAAATTCCCACAAATTAGTACAAACTAAAATTCCCACATATTAATTCCTACAAATTAGCACAAACTAAAATCGCAATTCACAAATTAAAATCGCAGTAGCAATGATTTAAGCAAGTAAAATCGCAAGTTAAAATCGCAAATTAAAATCGCAATTCACAATTGAACATGCAGTAGCAACAATTTAAGCAAGTAGCAACGATTAGTATTTAGTAGGAGAAGACAGGAGAAAGCAAGTAAGTAGAGCAACGATTAGCACTTTAGCAGAGCAAGTAGTAGAGCAAATTTAAATCGCAAATTGAATTCGCAAATTGCATAGTGCATACCTTAATTAGTAGGAGAAGACAGGAGAGAGAGAAGCAGGTGGACCGTTGACGGTGGTCGCCTGGTGCCCTGGTGTACTGGACGGTGGTCGGAGACTTAGAGGAGACAGTCAGACAGGAGAGGGGGCGAAAGAGTGGAGAAAGGCTGAGAGGATTAGAGAAATTAGGGTATTTATTTTTGGGCCAGGCAGGGGTTTTGTAGGATTGGGCTTATAATTCGGTTTTGTTCGGTTTTGTTCGGTTTTTCAATTTCCCGAACCAAAACCGAACCGAAAACCGAAATTTTTTTATTTTTGACACCGAAACCGAACCACCCTCCCAAAAAACCGAACCACATTCCTTATTCGGTTGGGTTTTTCGGTTCGGTTCGGTTTTACACTGATTCACTTTCACCCCTAACCGTCGCTAAATCTAGATTTGCGACTGCTTTTGTAACCGATCGCAATTTGAAAAATTTGCGACTGTTATCTAACCGGTCATTGAAATTAATAAAAACGGTCGCAAAAAATCTGCGACCACCAAACGTTCGTAATAATTTTTTTTTTGCGACCTTGTAGATAACGACTACGACCATTGACGGTCGCAATTATGTTTAGAGACCGTTTTTGCTATTTTTTGACCGTTAGAGGCGGTCGCAAAAACGTTAAATTTTAGTAGTGTAAGCTTCATCAGCCTCGACTTTGAATGAATACATCTGAGCATATTTATAGTACCCAAATCATTCTTTTCGTAAAAGATAAGTTTTCTCAAAAGATATGTTTAAAAGATATTTACCAAAAATAAGTTTTCCAAAAATATATCTTTTTGTTAAGAATATATTCTTTCAATAATAATAAGATATATTTGCTATAAAATCAGATTTTATTTAAATCTTATACTTTTCAAATATATAAACTTATCTTATCCAAAAGATATAAATATCATAAAATCAGATTTTATTCCAAACTTATATTTTCCAAATATACTAGCTTATCTTTTTTTACATGATATACTTATCATAAAATTAGATTTTATTCCAAACTTATATTTTTCAAATATACTAGTTTATCTTTTTCAAAGATATACTTTTAATAAAATCAGATTTTATTCTAAACTTATTTTTGCTTAAAATACTTTCCAAAAATAACTTATCTTTTTCCAAAAGGGATTTATTAAAAAATAAATATCTTTATTCTGTAAAACCAGATCCCTAAAAGATATGCACGTATTAGGTAAATATTTATATCATTAAACTGCCTTTAACGACGTACATGCTTAAGTTCCGATTAGGTTCTGGACCTCTGACAGTATCTGAGTTCCCGACAAATCAGTAAATATAATTTCATTGACTATCATGAGTTCACCTTGGTTCTTTAGACTTGTTCCAGACTGACTTTTATGTCCAGCATAGACTTTTTCCAGACTGACTTTTATGTCCAACATCCTAGAGCAATATACTTCGATTCCTCCGTCTTCATGTTGTTTCTTTGAAACTCTTGACTTGGAATCTTGTAGTATTGATGTATTCTAGATCTTAGGGCAACGTTCCACTTCTGGAACCATAGGCCAAGTTCTTAACTGGAACTTGCTATCTTCAAGTTCCTCTTAGGGAACTTAGATAGTTCTTTGTTGTTTTAATGAATACTACAAGAAGGGGGGGTTGAATTGTAGTATGAGAGTTTAGTCAAACTCTTTGCAGAATGAAGATTAAGTAAGCTAAAGGAACTAAAAGATTAACTTAAGGAACTAAAAGATGCAAGAGAGATTTTTACGTGGAAAACTCCTTGGCCTTAACAAGCTAGGAGAAAAACCACGACCCCTTGGGATTTTGAGAAAAGAATCTTCACTAGAATAGGGCAAAAGGTCCTATTACAAACTAAAGACTCAAACTCAAGTTCCTCTACGAACTTGAGACCCTGAGGAACAAGTCACCCAACTTGTCACTCTTCTATTCTCTTTCTCTCTTGTCACTTCTCTGTTCTCTCTTCTCTTTCTCACTTCTCTTTCTTAATTCTCTTTCTCATACACAGAAGTTCACTGAAACTTCCCCATTCCCCAAATTACAACTCGAAATAAGAAATAAAATTAAAACTCTAGTATAAGAACATTAAGAACACTCTAATTAACTTGTGTGGAATTGACACTTGACTCGAATTAAAAGTTAGAAAACATATGTGAGCAAGGGTCAGATTTTCCAACAAAAATCAATAGCTATTTATAGATTGCAAAACACCTTGGAAAATCATGTTTGTGCAGCAACATCATTACGCCACTACTCCAACCCACTAAGAAGATCATGTCCCTTAAATTAAGGAACCATGAACTCCTTAATGTGCATGGCCATGCCTTGAAGAAGAACATGGGGAGTAGGCCGCAAGATAAGGAAAACATGGTGATTTTATTTTTCACAAGATATTTTCGAAAATAAGAAAATAAATAAAATCCTTTTGCACAAGATATTTTCGAAAATCAGAAAGTAAAATAAAATCTTTTTGGTTAAATAAAGATAAACATTTAACACTTTAACCAATTTCCTAAATACTAACATGCACAATATTTTTCTCCTAAGACCAATTCCACACAGAATTTTCGAGTGTAATTAACTTCGTATACTTACACAAATTCTAAAATATAAAAATATATTTAGTCTTCATGCCTTCTGATGAAGCTTCTACTCCGAGGCTTCCTGTTCCTTGGAAGGAACTTCTCTTCTCTGATGAAGCTTCTTCTCTGAAGCTTCTATTCCCTGAGGGGAAACTTCTCTTTTCAAGTCTTCATTTCTGAAGCACCAGTTCCTGCAAAGGAACTCTTCTTTATGGATAGCTCTGCTTTTGGCCTTCTTGTTCCTCATGGTATTTTTACAAGACACTTAATTCTCCCGGTCTTTGCAACTGAGTACACACTTAAACAATCAAGCACTTATTAGTTTGTAAGTAAGTGAGGTTGTGTCATCATCAAAATCATTAAGTCCAACAATATTCCCCCTTTTTTATGATGACAAACAAACCAAACTTACTTACAAGGAAACAGAGATAATCCAATTTATTCCTAAAGAAAAGAAAATGCAAAAACAAAGTACAATGCAGAAAGGGAACTAATGTTAAGGAAATAAAAACAATGCACAAACAAAAAACTTTAGGCAAAACTGAAAAGCTTTAAAAAACTTGTATATACATTATACCTGCTTGTAGAGAGTAGGCAGCTTGTGAAGATTTCGAACAGAGACCATAAAATGATTAAGTTTCCTTGATAGTTTGCATCCTTTTTCCCCTTTTGGCATTATCAAAAACCAACATACAAGCATATAGTATACCATAACACATCACCATCTAGTGGTTTAGTGTTAAGACAAGAAGCATGCATGGAGAGAAAACATTCACA